AGTGAGTAGATGCCCTGACTGTTGAAACACAACGTTCCATCCCATAAGGTTGTCAACTTACACTTCCCAATACGCATGAACCGATCGATTCAGCAACTCCTCTCTCACCTCCTCGCAAAAGTCTTTCGTATCTTGCTCCGTCCAGCCCAGCACACGCGTAAAGACGGCCAGCGTAGACGCCTCGAGGCCTGCCAAGCTCCCCGCCTGAACCCACCAGCCTGCTTCTCGCAGCTTCTTCTTCGCAGGCCACGGGCTGACGGGCCAGATCCTCTTGTGCTCGACGACGGCCTCGAAGCCTGCTTCCTCGAGCAGCTGCTTGAAACGTGTCGGCACATCGATTGAGCTTCCGATCTTGTTGCAGCCTTCGACTAGCAGCGAGGACCACCTGGCGATGGCACTGGTCTCGGGCATGGAGTCGTCTGGGCACAGAATCGGCCACGCGTTGTCCTGGAGCTCGATGTAGCCGCCAGGCTCGAGGTGCCTGCAACAGTTAGATTGGGTTCGCGGTGTGTTCGGGGCGGGTGTGTAGCCACTCGAATGCCTGCGCCAGCATCTTCTCCCAGCTTTTGAAGCATGAGTTCATGTGCCGCACGAAGATGAAGTCGAAGGGGATCGTCCATCTCCAATCCTTGTCTACGTCGTCGATCTCAAACATGCAGTTCGGAGGCACACTGCCAAGTCAGCCCCGTGCGGGTCAGTGGGCTGGAGGGACATACTAGTCAGGTTGGATGGGACTGAGATCAACCCCGGTGACCTTGATCACATTAGCATCTCACCGGATACAAGGCCCGGAAGTCATCAAACCATGGTCTCGGGATGAAGGTCCGCTGCGACACATTAGATGCGACCAGGCATGGCTACGCTCAGAATGCTTACCATATTCCATAGCCCAGATGCCTGTACCAGTGCCGATGTCAAGGACTCGCTTTGCATTGTCCTGCATCGGGCTCATGCAGAGTTTGTCGTCCCACGTTAATAGCCACAGCTGGTGCTGCAAGTCTATGATAAAGTGAGTGGGAATAGCTTCATGGTCTCCAACGGGTGGCATTACATAATCGATCTTGCTCCAGCTATTGACTGGTTAGAGGCAATTCACCAATGGTTGTAGGTTGAAGGGAGACATACGACATCGTTGGGCAGGATGTATTCTTCGGGTGTCATGGAGGTTGGTCAGCTGTCTCGGCCATGTCATGCGTTGTACTCACTCCCTTCGCTGAGTTTGTGATACGTGCGGCCGTTCTCTTTGCAGTATTCACGGATGCTGGGTCGCACGGAGATTAAAGACGGAGGCAGCGCCTCGTCCAAGGACTGGAACGAGTCTCAGCTAACCTGCAAACAGATGAGGGAATGAGAGGACTAGATGCACCTCGGCATCGATGGAGATGCGATCAAAGTCGCCATCGTCGTCACGGTGGGTATCCTGCACGTGCAGCCCGTCAGCAAAGTCGTGTACCCAGCGCACTGCCGCCCGCCGACCGCCGACCGGAGCGGAAGACGGGCGGGCTTTCGGCGCGCAAAGGAGGGGCACATTGGACTGAATGAGTAAGGCGGAAGAGAGGGCGAAGGAATCAAAGGCAGGTCAACTCACGTCGTCCCCGTTTCTCGAATCAGACATGTTACCGGCGGCCTGGGTTTGGAAATCGCAAGTTCGTCCGGCCGCAAGGGGAGATGGACCGAGAGAAAGCGAATCGGCGGCACCAGCAGCACGGGTCACAAAAACGAAAGCGTGTGAAATGGAGGGGGGAGGGGGGAGGGAGAAAGGGGACGAGGATTTTAGGGGTGCCTCCGAAACCGTGCTTCTTGGCCCAGACCTCCCTCAGGCTCCTCCTCTCTCTTCTCCTGGGCCCCCCTTCCGTTCACCTCCACATCTGATGGTGCGCGTTGGTTCTGCGACGGCCGAACGTGAGGATGTGATTGGTGCTGTGCCGCATGCATGGTCTCACCTGTGGCACCTTCGTGGGCGCGATTTCCTGGTCGCTGGGATGGGATGAAGAAGTGCTGCCGTCAGCGTCGGTTACAGAAGCTGGCGGCGGATGTGATTGGGGGGTTTTCGAAGCATGTGTTGCGCACCACCCTGGACCCTGTAATCATCCACATCGTGGCCTGATGAGCGGTTCTACATTTATGGTGCGTCTCTGGGGGAAAACGACGACGAAAACAAGAGATCATAGAGCCTATTTTATACTCTTATTCTTATGTTCTATTGATGTTCTCAGTATTATGTGACAGTAAGCTTCCGCGGTCACCCGCAATTCTTAGCTTTAGGTCTCAACTTAAATTGCTCAAGCTGGATTGTCTTTTCGAGTCACATCTACGTAGACACTGCGCAGTATTACCGCTTGAAATCATTATGCCCATGCCGACTAGATCGCTGCTGGTTTGTTTCGTTCTCAGAAGCCTGAGGGTTCACCCAGCGCAGTGGAGGATATAGATGTCTGAGGTTCAATTAGATTCTGTGACTGAAACTTCTATTCAAATGCAGCCAGGTGAATGTAAATATGCCATATCACATTTAATTAAGCGCTCTGTTGATAGAACAAAAATGAAGAGTCTTGCTATCTGGGCGGGTAACTGTTGTAACAGGTGTAATAGTTTTCATCTGTTAATAATTTTTTATCTCTGTTATCTCTATTATCCTTTTTGTCTCTATGGTCTTTACTGTCCCTATTATCTCTCCTGTCCTTACTGTTGATGCTGTCCCTGTTGTCCCTGTCGTCCTTGTTGTCCCTATCGTCCCTATCGTCCCTATCGTCCGTGTCGTCCCTATCGTTTCTATTATCCTTGTCGTCTCTGTCACCCCTAACACCCCTCTCGTCCCTATTCCCATCGTTGTTATCTATATTATCGTCAATACTTGCTACCCACCCGGAAAGTCAGGAACACCTGCCTAGATAGCAAGAATCAAAATGAAAACAAAGATACAACAGCATAAAGACACAAAAATAACTCCTCGACGGGGAATTGAACCCCGGTCCCCGGCGCACTGTGTTCAATGACAAGCCGATATCCTCACCACTAGACTATCGAGGATTGAGATCTCTGAATTGAGATGTGTTGCTGGACCCCAATCGTGACTCATTCAGCTGGGATCCCGTTGTGAAGTGGATGTTGCTTGAATCGGTGGGTCTCGGATGGGGCCTGTATAAATTTGTCGCTGTAAAATCTCCCACGTCTAATTATCGGTTGCTGTTTGCCTGGAGAACTTTAGATGCGTGGTGACTGGTGCTCCGTGATTATGCCGGAAGCCGGTGTCCGAGATACTCTGGGCCGGCCGATGGAAACGCGGAAGGCCGGGCTCCTGCAGAGCCGGACGAGGGCGGATCCGGACGAGGGCGGAGCTGATGTCACCAGAAGCCGGGCAACGGACTTCGCTTCGGGTCGTTTGGGCCGTTTGATGTGAGTATTATGCATTTCTGACTGACCAGAGCTTCCTAGAAGCTGAATTGCTTAAGAGTTTTGCTAGTCGGGCAGTGTTATTTGGCTACCTATCTGGGCACACACGTATATAATATGTAGCCTGTTTCTAAAGTGATTATTATATTTCCTATTCTCGCTTTCGTTGTTATTATTTTTATCATCGTCGTCATCGTTATTATCGTCGTTATTGTAGTCGTTATCCTTATTACTACTTCTATCGTTCTCTCTTTAATCATGGGTTATAGGGGACACAGCCCGGATAGCTTACGAACACTGCCCGACTTGCAAAACTCTTGCTTCATGTTATCGTTTCTCAACAGTCTCTTGTTACTGAATCCAGGGGAGAAGAAAACTTCCTTGTGCTGACTATGTGAGCATGTTCTGTCTGCAAACAGCTTACTCCAGCATACCACATGTTCCCTCGATGCATTTTCTGACCCTCAGGCCACTGCTTGCCCACGATCTAAGTTTTGGCTACTAGCTGATTCTTGTTTATTGATGTGTTTGCATGAGTAGATGAAGTTGGTGTTCGCATGGCAAGCGAGTAGAGTCTTCGGGTCACAAGGGCCATGTAGAAACTGTCCGTCAACCCATTACATCATATCTAAAGTCGGCAAACTTACTCATGCACTTGTAGCGTCATCTTCCAAGTGCAGATCACGTTATGTAGCTAGAGGCAAGGTAATGTTGTAATACCGTAGGAAATGTGGGAAGAATCATGTTTACGAGACACACACCTCAGACCGTGCTGCTGAGTATGTCGGCGTAGCGAAGTAAATCACCATCTTTGAAGCACAAGTAGTGCTGTATGTCTATTTCATTGTTTTCCTGGTCGGTTGATGGATGGGATCAAGATTGCATACGGTCAGAATTTAACGTTGACTGCCAGCCCGATGCGATTCTATGAACAGGTTGGTTAGACTTTCTTTCAATCCTCTAGCTAGGTGTCTTTCACCGCCGTTGCATCTGTTAAGGACGATACCCGCTCATCGGTAAACACCAACCGCCGCTACATACATGTCGACTGACTGGTAGCAACCACGCCTTAGACATTGTTTCTCGCACCCTTCCGCGCAGAATAAAGCGGAGAAGCAACACCAAAAGGGCCATCGTGACACGCAAATTTTCCTTCGTCTTAGGAAGTATGTATACAGCACACAAAATGATTCGCAGGTTGGTTCCGCGGATGGCATGTCCGAGGGGGGACATGTTCAAGCAACAAAATGCTGCCTTGTCCACACAAATGCCTATCCTCAATTCTATCTACTTCCATACATGGGGGAGTGGATATTACCCTGAACGTTACCTTTCATCTGGACACCTTCAAGCCCTGCGTGAACCATCTCAGGCCTGCATGAGACGCCCGCAAGCAAGGGTCTCATCCGCCGATCGAGATGATCGGAGGCCGATACGACGACGGACGACCTCGTTACTCAAAAAGTATCAAACCATAACCCAGCAGTCGTTCGTTGCACAAGCACCAGGCATAAAGCCAAGCCAATCCCGCTTCTCCCGACGTCTGCTGGAAACTTCCCCCACCGGAGCTAACTCTCCGAGACTTGGACGCACCCCGCGGCCCCGCAATGGACGGAGCGGAGCACCTCGGGAGCGGCATCATGAGCCTCAGCCTTCGGGCCCTCATCCTGTATGGAAGCCACTGGACAAACGGCAGAAATGGCACCATGGCCGAAGTAACCGATCATGCGGTGAGTTCTTGTCGACGCCCGTCGGTCTCTTGGGACGGAAAATGACAGCCTCTCATGGGGCGCCGTTGTCGTCACCGTATACGTACGGCCGACCACCGTTTTCCCCAAGCGAAGTTACGCTGTACTTTATCCGGTATTTCATCTCGCATACAGGGACTTCACACTACGGCGGGCGTGCTTTAGCCCAAGGGTCTCAGCCAGCCTAAGCGACGCCGTATGCCGAGCCGTAGTATAGCCTCAACGGCGCGACGACGTCTCTCGCACGCCGTGAGAAGGTCAACCACAGGATCGACGTTGAGCAACGCACCATCATCGCATCTCACCTGTATCTACTGAAGGATTGACAAAGTCCCACTCGCCATGTTTCTCCGTACGCCGAGGGCTGATCCGACTCGCATGCCATCGCACGACAACTGCTGCTGTTGAGAAGCACCTTGGCGATGCGCGTCTGTCACGGCCTACACCCCCATCGTCATCCCTGGAGACGACAAAGACCACCCAAAATCCAGATTCACAAGGATCAAACCAAGGTTATCGATCGGGAGACGCCTAATTCCATTTCCTGGCGGTCAATCATGCAGGCACTTTCATCATCGCACATTGGCGTCGCATGCCATCCCGTCGACGGCGCTTCTAGACCCCGAGCATCACTTCCGGTCCCCAATCGAACCCCCGGTTCGCTCGGCGGGTCAGTGTTAGCGTTCCTCCCTTTTGGGATGGCATGTCCGTGATGCCAGCTGGAGATCACGGGGGTGTAAGAGGGAGAAAAGGAACGACATTCCGAGGCATCGTGAGATTGTGGTAGGCGTGAAGCGAGACGGCTGCTCGAGACCCTCGATGGCAGTTGCTGGACAAGGGACAAGAAGGGGGTAACGGCAAATGAGGGTCTCTCTCTCTGGAGGTCGGTATTGCTTTATCGAGGTGGACGATCAGGCGCGACTAGCGCGCTGTGTTGTTAAAGGCAGGACGACATGAAATTGCGTTGCATGAAGATATTGGCACACCCTGAGGGAAAAGAGGCATGGCATATGCCGCATAGAAGAGGGGGGCCCTTCTCGACGAGACATGGTTTCTTTTCTGAAAAAAGCCTCAAGATTTCGGCGTGCCTTCGGGCGTGCCGTGAACTCTGCCGTCATCAGCCATTCAGAGACTCTGAACAACACGAGAAATAGCATTCCCTTTGACTAAGGCAACGAGGCCTTCGGGACACGGCAAACTGTGCTTTCAGATGGCAGAAGAGCATTGAGACGACGGGACAGGCACCCTCGACTGCCTCTCACGATGATTGGGAAAGAGTCGAGTCAGCTGAGGCAACAGAGTGTGGTCTAACCATTTAACTCACGGCTTCTTTTTGCCCTCATGGCCTGTCACGTCCAGCCAAGCCCCGAGCAATGGCACCATATCAAACGGGAGGAGCGACTGGCTCGAGACTCTTCGTATGGTTACACTGCGACTGGAAACAGGGAAAAAGAGAGCGTGCGTCGGTTGAACTGCCAACGGAACGCTGGCCATGGCCCCAGCAATACGACTCTGTTGGTCCCACTCAGCCTAATACTGAAGGAGCAGGCAACAGAGAGTGTGAATGAGAGAGAGGGAGAAACCCACGAGAGCCGCAGGGCAGAGAGTCTGCATCTGCACCCATAAACCTTCGCTCCTCGACACAATGAAATGCGGAGAACGGTTTGGGGGAGAGTACCCAATGACCAGGAACCTGACAGCCTGCCCCCCAGATCCCAGCGTAGTTCGACGACGGTCTAGACTCGGTGAGGTGGCATTTCCAGCGGAACCATCAGCGATGACTCCTCACCCAGCTGGAGGGCAATGCTGATCAGCACGGGTGTCCCCAGGGCAAAATGCCCACTGGGTCCTCCGAGCAGAAGCTTGGCCTTGGTGAACCAGCTGCTGCTCCTCCCCGAGGCTGCACCCCCCTCTCCCTGTAAGGATCCTGCGCCGGGCGAGCTGACGGCCTTTTGCTGAAATGAGGGCAAGATCGGCGATGTCAAAATGGAGCTCACGGCTCGGCCCCAGAGTGCTGGAGAACGCCTCGGGGGTAAAACTGCGGGTAGGGAGGCGAGAGTCGAATCGTCGATGGCGAGAAAAAAAGGTCCTTCGCCGAAGAGGATCCCCGAGGGACGCGGCGCAGGCTGCGAACGAGGGGAAAAGGTGGCCCGGTATCCAGTTGGAATCTGGGCCGAGTGGAATGAATAGTGTTGCCATCAGCCCTAAGAAAAACCAGCTTTGCTCATCGACGATGAAGAATCGAGAGACACTCGTCATCGGGACGCCTGACACCAGGCCCACAGAGCCGGTGCGGACAGACTGACGGACGCATCAAAACATGAGACGGTGAGCCGTTGAAAGAAAGATTATTGGGTGAAGATAGTACGGCAGCAGTGTGCACCGTTGGCCAATAGCGGGCACTAATATCGATGCCTAGCATCGGCGTCTATGATCGCGATCGCAAACTAACCGGATCAATGTCAGGTGCACGGTTGGGAAGCGCAGTGCGATGTACGCGATAGTTGCATGCGAATTGGGGAAGGGCACGATACCCTCCTCCAAGGGATGCAATGGAATTATGAGCTTGGTGCCGGCCGAGGGCTAGCAGAAAATGGACAAGCCGAGGAGAGGGAATTATGAACGCAAGGGTGGCCGATGGAGCAGGCCGGAGATGGGATACGAAGAAAAACTTTTTGCCAGTGGGATTGTGAAATCGTCGATCGAGAGGACGAAGGAGAAGATAATTGGAAACATTGGCATGTCATCGAGATCCGGCGAGTTGGGAACAAGGCACCAAGGGCACATGGCACGCGCAAGCGAGCACAAGCGGCGGATGGAACAGGTACGGGATTACCACCAGCAGCGTTTCGATCGCGTTTCGTTTCGATGACAAGCATGAGAATGGTTTTGCTTGCCGCGGACGATGAGCCCGAGAATGGGGGGAGTGTAGAAGGTGGAAAACAGACGATGAAGAGATCGCGCTGAGACGCTATTCGTGAGACTCACCGGACGGCGCTTGTCGGATTGTGCGATTGTCCATGTCGGCCGTCGATGCTGGTGTCGATTGTCGATGTGCAAAAGAAGAAACGCGGGCGGGGCCTGTCAGTTAGCCAGCTCCGGGGACAAGAATCTGCTTGCTGCCGCGTTCCCGCGACGGCGCCGGAGGAGGCTTGTCTCGGTATGAGAGACCCTGCACGACGACGACACGACACGCCTACAGTCTCCCAAGTGCCTTGTGCAGAGACAGACAGACCCTTGGCGTCTCTCATCATCGTGATGTCGCGAGACAGCTTTGTGACCGACCAGAAGTCTTGGTAGAGAGACTGCTGGGTATCATCAGCCCAGGGATAACTCAAATAACGCGTTGGAGAATGCAGATGGGGAGAGCCTTGGCTTGCATTACGGTGATTCGCTGGTTGTGGCCATCCTCTCGTGGTCGTCTACTCACGAAGACATCGCCAAACGGCCCTTCGAAGCATGCCACAACACTGAGATTCAGTCTGAGAAACACCATGCCTTGACAGCCGTCTATGCGTATCATCAACTGTTTGTGCACATGCCCGCCAGGATCACCTGCTGCCGCGTCGACACCTCATGATACACGGCTGATGTTGCTCTTTTCGTCTTCCCGAGCGGCGCGCGCAATGCATAAGCGAACATCACCACATCGTGGACAGTTACACGGCCTGTCGATGGCCGCTCGGGTTACCTGAACCTGACTGAACGATGGGCAAATCATCCCCACAGTTACCTAGCTGCTGGGAGCTGATGTGCGACCGATGGGGGCTTGCAACGGGTAAGGCTTGATAATGCCGATCAAGTTGGTGTGATTGGCAGCCGTCTTTGTAAGAACTGATGGAATTGTTCGATGCGGGCAGCAGTCAACGATTACGGCAACGTGGGATGCCAATCACTATTGCCCATCCCACCCAATAGTCGCGTCCGTGGGTTGATGCGGCGATGTGAGAGCGTCGCGTCTCTGTATAATTCGCCCCCTCATCGGCGATGTAGTGTATTTACATCGACGATGCGAACGCGCTCGCGACGGAGCGAAAGGTGTGCTGCTGTGTTGTCCGGCATCTGTCTGGAGACGCAGAACAACGCTCGAGGGCCAAGACAAGAGTCCGTCGGACCGGTGAAAGAGGTGTCTAGTTGCCCACCGGTGGTTACTGAAGGGAACAAGAAGCCTTGCCCTGGATCTCATTTTGGTCCCTAGGGAGGAGGACGATAACGATGTCGATGTTCGATGGTGAATCGTGATGGGAGAATTACGGTGTTCGGTTAGCTGGCGGGATGGGATTCTTCGTCTGATCACGATGCCTCGGCGAAATGGTCGATACCTGACAGGGAACTCGATGGGCAGCGTGAGTCTGCCCCTCCACCCCTCACTCACCCCCCATTCCCGCTCAACGACGGCTTTCGCAGTAGCGTCTTCTCCAGTCTTCACACACACACACACACTAAGACGCGGCAGAGGCAGAGGCAGCCCAAGACCCCGTGGCCGCTTAGACAAAGAGGAAGAAAAGGCGAGACACTGACACGCCTTGACACACGGATTATCTGATAATTGTATAAGTTTACCCCCCCGCAAGGGTCCTTCCTCCTCTTTACTAATGAGTCAAAATTATTGACCAGTCCGCCAGCCCGTGCCGAGCCCGAACGCTCGATCCGCCCCGATGATTGGCTGGGCTGTCTCAAGTCGCTGCCAATGTCAGTTCCTCTGCGCAAAACAGCTGGGCATGAGACGACACCCGAGGGGTCCAAGCCTTTGCCCTATGAGAGGGGGCGTGTGGGATCCCGAGGACACAGAGACACAAGAGAGAGAGACGTCTTGTGTCTACTGTAATCTAGTTGAGTTATTGGGACTGACGGGGAACGTGGAGGTCACGGGGTTTATGCACGTAGCACAATGCCCGGTTGACCGAATGCGAGCAAGGAGGACGAGGAGGTTCGGGGCCGCAGCTCTGCACCACACGGAACGGCACCCTCGGCGCGGGCGGACTTGATGGGGCACACACAAAGACGGGCACCTCGCACTTGAACGGGTATCCGGGTGCGAGTCTTGGGGGAGATGGGGGATAGGAGATAAGCCTCACACTCTCAACCCCGACGGTGCCGTGTTCGCACCACACACGCGACATTCGCTCCATTTGAGGGGAAGCACGGAGTTGGGAGATTCATAACCCTGAGGAATTGGAACTTCAGTCTTGTGTATCCGTCGTTAATTCCGGCCGGGCGAAACCCTCGAACGCTGACAAAACAGCCCGCCTGCCGAGAAGGCGTGACTGTTTCGATGCAGCCTGGTGCTGTGTTGGCGAGCAAAACAGTAACACTGGCGTTCCGCCCGCACCGCATTCTGCAGCCTGCGCGTTGTTCCCGCTGCCGTGCTTATCATATCATGTCCACATCAGCAACTTCGGCACGGCAGGATCAGAAGGGGCAGGCTGAGGTTTTGCGCTAGACAGCTGCTAGTGCTAACGATTGTGTGTGAACGCGCAACGGGGGTGAGTGAGCGAGTTACAAGGGCCAAGGGCCGGGCATGGCTTGCTGCAGCCACAGCCACGGGCGCGTTTCTTGTGGTGAGATTATCTGGAGAATGGACGAGGTTTGGTGCATTACGCAAGGGTTGTTATCACTGTTTGATACGGATACACGTAAAAAGTCTGGAGGCGAAGGCGTTCGGCAGTACGACAGGGCTTGCGTGGTCTTTTGATTGTATCCTCTTCTGCATGGCATTTCACTTTGGGCAATTTTCGTGCCTGTCCCCCGGACGGGATTGAGAAACCAAGCGGGTGTTTGATTAGGCCACCACAGAGCCAGCCCCATGTCTCTCGTGAGTATCAGTTGATAACGGGACGGGCTAACGGGGGGAATCAATGGTTGACGTGAGGGGTTGGGAAGTAGCATCGATGCGTGATGTTCCCGTCTCGAACACGACGATGCCATGCGAGATGGCCGATGGAAACACCTGATGAACGATGCGGAGTTACGCTGTGCTGTCTGTTTCTAGTCTCTTGCGCATTCTTCCCGGTAACACGCCGCGCATAGTGCATAGCTTATAGCCTTTGCGTTGTGCACAAGAGCTAGAGGGGCACGAACGAGAGAATGCTCGGCGCCAGGAAAGGCTCCTCGGGCGAGGTTACGTGGTGGTGGTTGGCTGAGCTTCTTGGTCGTTTCTTGGGAGCGAGGCATGCACGTATCAGTCAAGAACGCGAAGACGCGAGGTGACACCTCTTTACTCGCATAGACACATACGAGTACACACACACCGTCAACACTAAGTGGAATGCCCGCCGTTCCCCTCCCGCGCTAGTCTCTGCCCTATGGAAGTCACTCAGACTGACAAGACGGCTTGCATAATTCAATTGGATACATGTCGAAAAGAGAGTTGGGACGGTAGGAAACATCAGGACCTGACGGAGGACACGCGACCACTCAGGGACGTCCGCCGTACACCACCATCCAGAAAACGTAGAGCTGAAGAAAACGGGATCCTGGGTTTGGACATCGACAAAGAGGTGGCGGGATCGACCAGGGTGGGTCGCGCGACGCAGCGCAAAGATCGAGAGTTTGCGGGAGTCATCAGAAGCCATACCGTATGCGGACAGTTTTCCATTGCTCTACCCCCGACGGCAGCTCCTAGTCGCCATGTGGTTGACTCCGTAACAGCCGGTAATCCCGCCTCTGCTCTCGCTCCTCGCCGTCGTCGCTGCCGAGGCCGCTGAGACTATGACGGCTAGTTGCATAGACGGTGGGTGAGGTGAGCTGAGGTGGTGAGCCACCGCTGCAGCCACCTTTTCGCCGTGGCCGGGTACACTGCAAAACATTGGCGAGCTTTTGAACAGAAGGGTTTGGAGCAATACTGCATTGACCAACCACGAGACACTGTGGCTTGAAGCTCTTGAGGGGGGGGGGGGGGGGGGGGGGGGACTGCCGTCTCAAGATTGTGTGGTGTATATGTTGGTGGATAGTATAACCTAAGGTATAGGCGCACAGATGGCTTCACCTGCAGTACCTGCCGAGATTAATAATTCGCCGGGAAAAGGCAAAAGCAGACGACCCTGAGTCGAGATGTTTACCTGCAAGAGGACAAGAGAGAAAGAAAAAGAAGACGGCGAGGGAAGGCCGAGGAAGGGTGCTAGAAGAGGGGTAATAGAGTTTCTGCCTCTAGCTGGTGCGCCATCGCGAGAAGGCCGCTTTGTTGACATGCGGAGCGAAGAGGGGTTTTGGGGGACTGATTGGGAATCGGAGAATGCCATGCGCGGCACATCTGGGATGGGAAACGAGAAAAAGTCACGATGCGAGAAAGAATCGAAATTCGCATCCCGTGGTCTTGTGGCGGATGGAGCGGGCTGTCAGGGGGCTTTGCTTCTGCCTTCCAATGGAATGACTTGTTCGTGGGATGTCACACAAAGTCTGTTGGTTGGTTGTGTGTCTGCTGTCTCGAAGGCACTGCTGGGCGGAGGTTTGTGTCTGTTCAATCTATTGTCTGCCTGGACAACCATGGTGGTCTGGACGTTCACGTTGAGTTCTTGGCTTGATAGAGTTCCCATTTTTAGGGTTTTGGAAATTTCCAAGTTGATGGGTGCGCCGCGGGAGCAACGCAGCGCCCTTCTCCCCGCGCCCCCGAACCCGAGTCGAGTCAAATCTCGGCGGAATCCTCCCAACGGCCGTGTCTCTGGGCACGCCGCCGTTCCTTCATCACGATGGATCAGAAATTGCCATGCAGTCTCAGGCTGAGAACTCTCGCGGGCTGTCGCTGAACTCTCTGCATCGAAATGAAATGTTTCTCTTACTCCCTCACGCAGATTAATCCCTCTCAGCCCTGTGCCGCGCCTCCCCCAGCATTGGCAATGGCATGGCATGATATGGGGTGGAAAATAGCTACAGAAACAAAACGACGAGGGGGGGAAATAGCTCTGAGGCAAACGCAGATTGATGAAGAGTTGGCCCATGCTTCTCTTCGTCTTCTTCTCCATCCCCATTGACACTTCACGCAGCTGCGGTCCTGCCCTATCTTTGGTGTTGGTCTCTGCTTCGATCATTGGGGGCCACGGCTCTCTCGTTGGCCCGTCGGTCCCCAGTTGGAATATACAAGAGACAGCACCGCCTGTACGCCAAACAAATTCCCCGACCCCGGGTCCCTCTCGCACGCGCAGCGACAGCGATGGTGCCGTCGGTTCGCCGAGAGGCAGACCCTCCCCTTCCCGGAAGGCCGGGATGTGGAGTCGGTGGAAAGCTCTAGGACCCCGAATCGAACAGTCCTCTCTCATCCTTCAACATAGCCTTCGGGATGAGGGGGGGCTTGTTGATTGGGGAAAGGATGGCGGCAGTAAGGAATAGAGGCACAATGCGTGGCGCAACCCTTCTTTCTTTCCGCTGCGGTTGGTGGTGCTCGTCCGCAGCAGCTCTTGTCAAACCATGTTCCCGAGGGATAGTCCCAGCTGATATCAACCACGGGGACAGGTATCACATCTCGATGGCCCCCTCCCATGCCTTTCCGTCTTTCCAATGGAGGCCGACGTCTGTCTCCCTTGACCGGTCAACCCAGGACCCTTACAGCGGTGGTTTACGGCAATATGCAATTCCCTCCCAGAGTCGCATGGTTCGGGCCCTCCGTCCGTCCCAAGGCCACTCAGAGTTTGAGGACGTTCCCGTCCTGTGGATGCGCGAGAGTGTCCACGCACGGGGTTTCGAAAAAGGCCAACGTTTTGGGCGTGGTGCGTGCGTGGACTTTCGCTCTGCAATGCAGCATGCGCGCGTTTTTTCTCCATATCCCGTACCCCATTGTAATTTACCCTCCGTCAGAAAGTTTCCCATCTTTCTGAGGTTGATATGCCGTATTATCCATGGAGGAGGGGCTTTCGTGCAGACGGTCCCCAGAAGTAATGGGCACATCAATCCCAGACGTCCATGCCGGCGCGGCCCCAATTCTGTCAGTCGCAGGTTATTCTGATCAAAGGATTGCGAACGTCTCCAGAGGTCTGAGGGGAGTCGAGACGGTAGTCCACAAGGGGGGATCCGTCGGCGATCCGGGGTGCTCCCCGTCAGGGGACTTGGCTTCCACCTCCCGCCATTTTGTGCCTCATTGCGACTTCTGAGCTCTCTTCTAAGCGTGATGGTGTGCGTACGCATGTCTTTCCACGGATTGCGACCATTCATATCGCGTGTGTTGGTGGCGAGTCGTTGGTGACTCGGATTTCACCAGATACCCATTCCGACCCCAGGCAGCCGTGGAATTGGCCATGGGCCTGCATATTGACATACATACACGGTCAACGTGAAACCTTCAACCTCGTGCTCTATTTTCAACATGCCTCGAGTGAAGAGGCTCGCATATACCGCATGCCGTTCTATCCTATCCTGTCCCCCTTGCTTTGTCAAAGGTAAAGCGAAAAAGCCGTCCAACCCAAAGGAACCCACTTCTCCCCGCGCGGCCTCCCTCCCTATGAGACGCCAACATTCCACGTAAGACGGCCGGCGTCGACATCGCTTCGCGGCCGTGTGGCTCCCCTCCCCGTCTTGATGAATGAGAAGTCGAAAGATGGAGGGAACCAGCTGGTTGATCCGGCGCCACAGGTTCCTCTTGCTAGGTCCGCCGTTTTGTGTCTGTATTGCACGGCTATGCTTGAAGCTCCATCAAATCCCCTCTCTCCAGGCTTCGCCTCGTCTCGCCTCGGTCCCCCAGAAGTCCTGTAATCGAGATGCGCAATCAAGCCACTGTCTACCAGCGTCTCGGACTGATGAGCTGACTGCCTGTGTCTTGGGGTGACCCCCTGGGCATCCTGGCATCGGCGATGGATTCAGCCTCCATGGATGCGATCAAGCGTTGCGACGCAAATATGGGAATGGAGATCAGAAATAGGTCTAGAAGTCTGATTGATCATATTATCGTCCGTTTGGACCCTGAATCCGCCCATGTATTAAAACTCCCCGAAGCCCCCGTCCCCCATCACCCCATCGTCCATCTGCCGTGACACCCCGTTCTAGGAAACGCATCCTTTGTTGAGCCCGTCGAAACATTTCTTTTTCTTCTTCTTGGCCGTCCGCGACTGGCTCGTTTGCTTGAAATAAGCTCCCCACTGGCTGGAACGTAAACACACCGAGTCTCCGCTTGAAGAACAACCTCAGCAAGGGATTTGACCGGACCTCCAGAAAAGAACCTAACCCATCACACCCATCTTCGAAGGATATACGCTTGCGCAGTGCGGAAGCGAGCAGGCCTCAGAAAACGAGCACACACATAAGCGAAAGTGCGAAGAGCAGGCCTCAAAAATCTATCGAAACCCAAAGAGCCGGCCAAATTACCTTGGGATTGACCACCGTATCAACCTGCCATCCGCAGCGCTGCCCAAGTCTAGTCCGCCTAAGAAGCTCCTGAGTCGAGATCATCCCGACCAACCAACATCGACCACCTCTTCCCGTCGTCGTCCTCGTCGTCCTCTTGCTTCGACACTGCCGTCACAACTGTGCTGAAGCCAAGCTGCTCACGCCCCCGGCCCCCCCCCCCCTATCCAGCTGAACTTGTATTCGCGCCCCGGTAGAGCGAATTCACTTAGCGTACGAGGCCTCCTCCCCCTTTCCATGCATGCTCGCACGCCCCTTCATTTTGTGCATATGCAGCAGCATGCATATACCGTAATAAATGCAGCGTGGACTAACGCGAGGCCCCCAGGAACCTTAACCGACGTCGACTTTACGGTGCACACCCCTCCGTAACCATACCACCACCGTCTCCACCCTCGGCGTCGACCGTCTCGCCCATCCCCGACCGTGTCCGTCTGCTCGTCGACGGTCTTCGTCCTCCCCACCCACACCATCTCGCTTGAGAGCAGAACACCACCGTCTGCCTCTGCACAAACTCGCTCACGCCCTCTGCATCTGCACCGCACACCCCTTCTCCACGCCCCTTCCCTCGGCTTGGCTGGGCTTGGCTTCTGCCCTCTGCGCAGTCTTGTGCCTGACGTTGCACACTCCCCCGGTTCCCTGTCCTGTCTTCTGACTGAGGCTGGGCTGGACCGCAGAGACACCTACGCACCCTTGTCAAGCTGGGCGTCTGCACCATCTTCCCCCAAGCACGGGCCTGCACAAAAAACACACACTCTCTCTCTGGAAGACTCGGCAGCAGACAGACAGCGGTCGGCCAGTTACCTCCGTCTCCGAACAGACAGAAGAGTCTCCGCGCTTCTTGCACAATTTTGACGCTTGCCCTTCATCCATCTGGTCTTCTGTCGATCCCACACACCCCGAGGGAGAAGCTCTCGCACGCCCTCTGACAGACCAGACACCTCACCCTGGTCCTCATTTTCACTCCTTTTTTCTTCTTAAGCTACCCTCCCCCCTGCCTTCCCACCCCCCTCTTGGGTTGTGCACCACTCTTCTTATCCTTCCCAGGCTACTCTACCTATATATCATCAAGCCTTCCCACGACCACTTATACCGGCCTCACTTCCCACCCAACTTTGGACTTTGACACCAAGCCAACTCCAACAAACAACTTCACCGAGGATATACTGAACGTGCCAACACCAAGGACAACAACTACCACCACTACCACATCCACCAACAACCAACATGCCTTCCAGCTCACGACCTGCCAAGATCCACTACAGCTCCTCGTCCTCCTCCGACTCCGACCTCTCTTCCGCGTCCTCGTCCTACAGACAAAGCATGGACTCCGTCGCCAGACCGATTGCCTCCGTCGAGGTCCTCCGCTGCCTGCGCTGCGCGAGGTCTGTCGAGGCCACCTCCACCGACGACTCCAGCTCAACCGGCATGGTCCGCATCGCGCACAACCTCTATTACTGCGAACGCTGCGCCAAGATGGTCGGTTACAAATGAGTGAAGCCGCCATGGCCGGGTGAACGGGTGACGGAACGACAACGACGAACTTCAACATACAATACATCAACAACACCAACTGCCACCGACGATGGCCTAGGCCTCAACTTCCCCAGGTGCACGACGGGCTAGACCATCACACGCACCACCAACGACCAGGGACGCCAGGCAAAGGCTGTCTCGACGATCATCGGTGGTCACGACTCGGCTCGGGTATGACTTCAGTCTTACTCAGCCCGACTCTGCAACAGCCCTCACTTCTACCTCAGAAAAGGGAGCAACAGAGTGAGACCTGCTCCAGGACCCCAGGATCAGCAGTCGGCCGGCGATCCCAGGCCGCATTTGAGTTTGCACTAAGGCTCCGCGGAATGGGAGCGAACGCTGTCGGCGGGGCCGTGCTGTCCTCTGAGGGCCGCCGATCACCTGCACGGCGGCACGTTGCGGCACTCGGGGCTTGCGTCAGGTTCCTATCATCCAGCCGACTCATCAATCATTCGATTCTTCCGCTTTCAGGGCGGGCAATTGGCAACGGCTCAGAGAAGCACAAGAGAAAAAGAAGATGCATTCCCATTCGACCAGTCAGGTGGGGGGTTCTTTGACCCGCTTGTCTGTGTTCGCTCTTTGGATTCTTCTCGACCTCGCTTCGAAAACCGTCACAGGGTCAACCCGTCCACGATGAAACAAACCCACCACGGGCCCCACGAACACGAACCCCAAGACGGGCACAGCACTTTGCGCAGTCAAGCAGCAGCCAACAAACACCTGCCACGGCAATTGAATTGCATCACATTGCCTACCAACCAACAACAGGTGTCAACAACGGCAAGTCAACAACCAACCAACAGCACAATGCAGTCATGTGCCTGGCGCCTCTTCCGTCGTTTATGTTCTGTGTCTGCCCCGGCCATCTCCAGATGAACGGGCCCGCACTTGGACGCCGACACGGCGCCGACAGGACTCCCGGTGGGGCACTTGGCTCTCTTCCCCACTACCCGTGGACGACGGCCAATCAAGCCGCCCAGCAGACGACGGTGTCATGGCCTGACATGATCTGGCTCCACTGCAGATGACCCTCGCCTTTCAATCTCGCATGAGATGTTTGGCTGAGAAGACATGTCGTCGTTCGTCGGGCGGTTGGCTCACCTGCCCAACCGTGGCTGAGTTTGGGTTTGCATCCCGGCCAAACGCCCAAACGCCCTATGGAATTTTTTTTTCTTCTCTTCTTCGGCAGAGCCCATCTTCACTTCTTCTTCTTCTTCTCTGCCCAATGGGTTAGTCATCCCCGGTCCGGGATCTCCCATTGGGCGCGGTGGGGGTCCACCAGATCTCCTTTTCTCGGCACGTCATTGGCCGCACCTGGTCTCGGCAGACAAGGGATCGCCAGCCATTGGGCAAACCCCCCAAGCACCAACCCATCCGTGCCCAGGGCCCCAGGCAGCAGTCTAAGCGCTCTTGTGCTCGCTGTTTGCATCCCGAACCAACGCACGCACTGCGCCTGACTCGGCTGTCCACATCCACATTCAGTCAGAAACGGGGGTCCCCGACCTCGTCTTTCATCCCAAGATACGAGCCTCGCCTTTTCCCTCGCGAACGACATGCATTGGCATTCAATCCATTTGCCGACATTCGCGCGGTACGAGATTCAATTCTCTGTTTCCCCAGGGGTCCCTTCATTTCACACTCGCTACAACAACAAAAGGCGTTGGCACCATCATGCTAGCGCCTTATGCGACGGGAGCAAGACATCATCGTGCATGATGTCTTTCACCCCCAAGGGATCCCCCTCCTTCACGTTCCCCTGATTCCCCTCACTGCTGCAACAGTCTCTGCTGGGCCAGTCGAGGGGGATTGGAGAGGGGGAGCCACAAACGCACATGTCGACGATGCGGACGTCATTGGGGAATCATAGGGGTCCTGTTCCCGCCCGACAACGTCTCTAGCGGCACGCGCATGAGTCCCATTGGGCAACCGTCAGAAGCCGCTGACGTCGACGCGCATGAGCGCTATTTTTTTCTCACCATTGTTTTGACAACGTCCAATATTTCTGTGCCCTTTTTTTTTTTTTTCCTGTTGCAATTTTTCCATGGCGGGGCACAAGGGAATGGGGGAGCGGTATGGGAATGGCATCATGAGCGCTTATGGGGCGGACGGGGCATAGTCCTCGTGTCCTTTTTTGGGTTTTATTGTTTTGTGTTATTCCCGCGCAAAAAAGTTCTGCAACTGGCGTTACAAACGGAAGAAGGATATCGAGACGGATCACTGTATCACAATACCCTCTGTGGTTTTTTCTATGGGCGGCATTCAAAAAGCGGTGGAGCATTGGGAATTCAGGAATTGCATTGCAGATACCAGTCGAGAAACACTGTAGTGATAATGCGACTATGAACAAGAAACCGAATGAAGCAATTCAGTCAAAACTCGTCTCTGTTCCTTTGTGAAGACGCATCTCCTGCCTGATCCGGGTGCACGATAAACCCTACGCTCTATTCGGACCTAGCAACAAAACGAACTGACTCTTGGCCCTTCCGTGCTTTCCGCCTTTGCACCGGAAACCTTCCGAGCGAGAAAGGGCCCTGAGCGCGCTACCTATCTCTCGCGGCGCTACCTTGCAATCTCCCGCGATTAACCTCGCGATTTGACTATCTTGGCGTGGGGCCGTGATTACTGATTAGACGCTATCCGTATTCCTCATTCAGCCTTTCATGGGTTTTGGTTTTATCGATTTCTCCGAGGGGCCTTTTTGGGTAAGTACGATAGACAGGGCGAAGAACTTGGACGAGGGCGCCATAGCGAGCCGCTCAAGGTTACGCCTGCGCCGGTGAATTGCCAACGTTCCTAGACGAGCTGAAACCCCGTGACTGCGCTCGAGGGCGCTTGCATTTTGAAAGATTGGTCCGCGGTAAGTGTATTTGGCCCGAAGGGGGATGTCTTGGGACACCTTGATGGGGTTGCGAGTATCACTGGAAGAGACCGTTCGGGCGTGCGACCTCCGCGAGGTCTGAATGGAGATCTTTGCGTGTCCTGTTGCGTGGTGCGGTGATGATGATGATTTCCTTCGTATGGAGAGGAGGCGCTGTGGGTGCGTTGCGCATCGCATCCTGTGCTGTCACGTTGCGAGAGAACACAACCGTACAAGAGAAACGAAAGCCAAGTCTCGGTTGTGAGATCTATTGTTTCTAATTATTTCTCCTCGCATGCATATGTTGCATTCCACAGTCGTAGAAGAATGCTGCAAAACATCCATCCGAGATGCGAGAGAATCTTGATTTTTGGGTGAGGTTTGGTGGTCCTGCACACTCCCACCCCTCAGCCAACAGTTGGTTGGCTGCTTTGGTGTTTTGGCGGTGGCTATGGCCGTTGCATGCAGCAAATCCGACAACCGACGGCAAGCAACACCTTTTTCACCATCCGTGCAGGAAGACGGGTATGTCAACGTTAAGCAGAGACCGGATGGCAGCCGACGACAGACAGGCACAGCCGCAACACCATGACCACCACCCAAAAAAGGCATTTACGGAACGGCAGCTGGGTATTGATCGTCGGTCCTGCGGCCGTCGCACACTGGTGGATTTAGCTATGAACAAACAGGTTCGTCTCGCGCATGTCCGTCGCGCAGTGATGATCTCCAAAGGGCAAGCCACCTCAGCCCTGCCTCGCTTAACCGCGAAACCGCCGGGATGACGGTCGCAAGAAAAGAATGGTGTATCAGAAACCGCGCTGGCGCGGGCGTGTCTCCTTTGCGTGCTTCTGGTTTGTCCGTGGACTGGTTATGCGCCGGAATGTAGCGAGACCGGGCGCGGCTGAAGGACCCCTTGAACGGCGTCGTGTCATGTAGGTATGCTTAATGGGCGTGCTTGGATGGGCATGAACTGGGCGCTGGAGGGTGTACACCTCGCAGGGGGGTCTAAAAAGCAGGCAGGGGGCTGTGGCAGTGCTAGAAGAATAGATCTTCTAAGCTATATAAGTGTAACTTTCCCTTTATAGTTTACTCTACTATATTTTAACTATCTTTAAGCTATATTTATATCTAAATAAAATAAAGACTACATTATAATAGAATATGATTATAATAGACATTAATAATAAAGTTATATTATTTATAATACATATATATAGTCTATATTATAGCTAATAGTTTATAAGAAAATATTTACTATTTTTTATTTTTTATTTTAGAGAGATATATTATATATATATGGAATTTATTCTTAAAATATGTTATTTTTAAGCTAAATATCCCTAATATTTTAATTTATAATAAACTCTTTTTTAACTCTAATTAATTTTATTAACTTTTTAGCTATATTTATAAATAATAATTTATTTATTTTAATTTTAATATTTTCTCTACTTTAAATAATATTAAATAATAATAAAACGAATAGAGATAATTTAAAGATAATAATCTAATTATAAGCTTAACTTATTATATTATTTATTAGCTTAAACTTAAACTTATTAGTATAACGATTTATTTAAAAATAATATATATATAAAGGTATATTTTATGAAATAAGCCTTATTAAATAATTTTTATTTAATTTATATTATTTATATACTCTATATATATTAAATATATGTTTAGAATATAATTAAATTTTAAAATATTTTTATTATTTATAATAGAAGCTATTAAGTTATTATACACATTATATATAACTATTTTACTATTTTAGTATATTTTAAGACTTATTTTAATAAAGTTTTTTATTATATTTTCTAATATATTTAAAATAGAAGTTCTTTACATTTTTATATACAGAAGTTTATCTTAAATATTATTTAAATTATTTAGTATTTAAACTATAGGAATTTTAAAATTATAAAGAGTTTAACATGGTTCATCAGTCAGCCGGGCGGACCAGTCAGCTGGACGTTTTTTTCTAAACACTCTTACGTCCAAATCACTTAAACCTTTGACGCGTAAAATCTCAACAACCATAATGCTAATCTACACCCAAGAAGACAAAGTCATTCTTGCGATTAAAGCGATCTAATCG